AAACGTGAGTCAGGCCGTGTCACTACTTGGTTTACGATCCTCCAGCAGCTTCATTTTCACTATGGGTAACACCTAAACTTTGCTTCACTTTCTTCAGGTCTTTGCCCAAATGTCACCTTAATGAGGACTTCTCCAACCACCCCACATAAAATAGCAACTTCTCCACCCCCATGTCTGCACCACACGCCTAATTCCCCTATCCTGCCCTTTACCCTTCATAACACCTATTACCATTTCATATATTACTTATTTACATAATATATAGCAGATTGCATTTTCCAAGATGGCCACAAGATTTCCCTTTCCACACACTTTCTTACAATGTGACAGTTCCACTATTCCCACTGAGAGATGGGGATCTATGCTCTCCATCCTGTAATTGTAATAGAAGTGATATTATATGACCTCTGAGACTAGGTCACCATCTCTGTCTGGTCCTTTTGGGGCACTCAGTCTTGGAACTCAGCCACTATGATATAAAGAAGCCCAGGCTACACGGAGAAGCCACTTGTAAATGTTCTGCCAACAACCCCAGCTGCAGTCCAAGCCAACAGTCAACCTCAACTTCCAGACATGTAAGGAAGCTTTTGAGATTACTTCAGCCCTAGCCACTGCATAGGAGACTCCAAGTGAGAACTGTTTAGCTGAGTCTAATTACCTCCTAGAACCATGAGAGATAATGAAATTGTTGTTTTAAGCCACTCCGTTTGGGGTCATTTGTTATTTAACAATAGATAATAGAACAATTTGTTTTGTTTATGTGTATATTTTATGTCTCTTTCCCTCTAGAGCGTAAATCCCACAAATTAAGGGATTTGTTGCTGCTGCTGCTGCTGTATTCCCAGCACTTAAAACAGTGCCTAGCACATGTACTCAGTAATTTTTTTTTTTTTTTGAGACAGGATCTTGCTCTGTCCCTCCCAGGATGGAGTGCAGTAGTGTCATCAGAGCTCACTGCAGTCTCAAACTCCTGGCCTCAAGTGATCCTCCCAAGTCTTCCAAGTATCTAGGAATACCACAACCAGCTAATTAAAAGAAAATTTTGAGCTGGGCACAGTGGCTTACGCCTCTAATTCCAGTGCTTTGGGAGGCCGAGGCGGGCGGATCACGAAGTCAGGAGTTCGAGACCAGCCTGCATGGTGAAACCCCATCTCTACTAAAAATACAAAAAATTAGCCAGGCATCGTGGTACACACCTGTAGTCCCAGCTACTTGGGAGGCTAAGGCAGGAGAATTGCTTGAACCCAGCAGGCGGAGGTTGCAGTGAGCTGAGATCTCGCCACTGCACTCCAGCCTGGGCGACAGAGCAAGACTCTGTTTCAAAACAAAAATTTTTTTTTGTAGAGATGGGATGTTGCAAAGTTGCCCAGGCTGGCCTCAGACTGCTGTGATTCTCCTCCCTTGACCTTCCAAAGTGTTGGGATTACAGGTGTGAGCCACCATGCCCAGCTCCCAATAAATATTTATTGAATGAATGAATGGATGCATGATCCATTTTCTTTTTTTTTCTTTTTTTGTTTTTGAGACGGCCTCTCGCTCTGTCGCCCAGGCTGGAGTGCAGTGGCCGGACCTCAGCTCACTGCAAGTTCCGCCTCCCGAGTTTACGCCATTCCCCTGCCTCAGCCTCCCGAGTAGCTGGGACTACAGGCGCCCGCCACCTCGCCCGGCTAGTTTTTTGTATTTTTTTAGTAGAGACGGGGTTTCACCGTGTTAGTCAGGATGGTCTCGATCTCCTGACCTCGTGATCCGCCCGTCTCAGCCTCCCAAAGTGCTGGGATTACAGGCTTGAGCCACCGCGCCCGGCCTGATCCACTTTCAATAAAGCATGCTAATGGTTATTGGTTAACGGTATATGGCATAGTCTGCGCTAGATCTCATTGGCTGAGAGAATAAATTGACAGAGCATGGGAATATATGTTGAAATTTTTCAAGGGTTAATAATATGTAATGTAATATACATAATGTAGATATATATAATGAATTAAAATAATTACACGACAGCATAAAATAGGATTTGAGTTTCATATAGTCTTTTGGCGATTGATCCCATAATCTTAACATGGGCTTGCTTCTCCAGATCAGGTCTGGAAAGTCTTCAGAAGTATTTTCAGAAGGATAAGGATTCTTCTCAGTCAAATAATGAAGTCCTTCCTAAGCATCCCACACTAGTGGAAATCACTCACATGGTTTTGGTATGAAATGTAATGAAGCTAGGTGGTGGCAGCGTGTGTATGTGTGTGTGCACGGGCAGGTGCATACAATTTGGAATGCCTACTTCCACTGCCTATTTTCACAGTCTGGTGGTTCGAATGGAGTGTGTATATAAAGAGAACGAATAAACATAATTCTGGATTTCCCCTTTCTGCACCAAGTACTTGGTTTGAAGCAAACATTTGTGTATTGCTTAAATAGCAAACATTTTCAAATATTCAAGGAAAATATTACATTTTTATAATCTCAGAAAGCAACAAAGGACAAAATTTCTCAGCTACCTGAGAAGAGGTAGTTTTTGTTTGGGGAAGAATAAACAGGTGGATGGTCGTTTGAGTGGACCAAACAATTTCTTTGAGCCAATCCATCTCAGCCTTGATTGCAGCAAAAAGCATAAGGATGTGGAGTGCGTGCGGTTTCTTAGAACTGGGGATCTCTGCTGAATCTAGTCACAATGGAAGCAAAGCAGTTTCCATCACAATAAGCGCTTTAACGATCGTGTGCCACTTCTTTCCAGGATCCAGAAGGGCTTGAGGATCAAAATGGCTTTTAAAAGTTCTTCACTTAAACAAGGCCACAGCCACAAGGCTACTTGGCCAAGTGTCTCTTGAGAAAGAGTGAGTGCCATTTTGTTCTTTGTTCCAATGACACTTGTTGGTGCCACTGGGCCTCACCACCTGGCCTGTATCATGAAGTCCCCCTCTTGATTGGGTCTAAGCCTTGAGTGGAAAGTGGGGGAGCCTCCCAGCACTTCCTTGGAAACTCTAGGCAAGTAAATTGGGGAATATTTTCTTTGGGAGTCTCATTTTTCTCACCAAAATTTAGATACAGCTTCTGAAACTAATTATTCTTTTTTCATTATAAAAAATATTTTCCTTTATTTATTTATTTGCAGGCCCAGCCAAACTTGACTAGAAAAGAAGCCCGGGCAGGGGTTTGGATGAGCCCATGACGTGCAGCACGCTCCGACCAATTGGGAGGCCGTGAAAAAGGGGAGGGCGGAAGTGACGAGCCGTATCCCTCCGCGGGGCGAGAGGGTCGGTGGGGGGAGTCGGCGTCTCTCTCCCCCGCGCCAGCTCCCGTACACGGAGCCGCATTCCTTGGCCCCCCCACCCCCCTCCCTCGGGGCCCCCCCCGCCCCCCTCGGGAAAAAAATCCACCCCAAATCACTCGAACCCGAGGGAGGCTTCCTTTCACCCTTGGGGAGACGAGCTTTCAACGGTTACCTCTTCTTCGTCTCCCCCCAAGCCCCTGTCCCCTCCCTGCTCCCACCCCCTTCTGGCGCCGGGTGTAAGGTCCCTTTAAGGCGACGGCGCCTTTCTCGGGTCAGACTACCGGCGGCGACGACCACGGGAGGTGAGTGAGCGAGCGAGCCTTCTCTCTCCCCACCCCCTGCTCCCGGGGGTTCCGTTATCTTTTCGCTCGGCGAGGCGTTCCGAGGCGAGACAATGAGAGGGGGATGGGGCCGGTACGCGCGGGGGTGGGGGCGGGGGGCCGGCGGCGCGCGCCCCCGCCCACCGCGAGTGGCGGCGCGGCCCGCGGCAGGGGCGGCCGCAGGGCGCGGTGCGCGAGCGCGAGTGTGTGTGTGTGCGCCTCGGGCCGCGGGAGCTGCGCGAAGGGCCGGCGGCGGAGGCCCCTGCCTGCCGGCTGGCCGGCCACCCCCGCCCCCTGGCGCCCGTCGCGGCGCGCGCGCGCGCACTCGCGCCCCACGGCCCCGCACACAGCCCGGCTAACACACAGCCCGGCGTCCACACGCACGCCCGGCGCGAGGCGTCTCCGGAGGAGTGGGCGGCGCGGGCGCAGGCGGTGGCGGGCGCGGGCGGTGGCCCGCTGGGGAAGGGGCGGGGGCGCGGGCGGCGGCGAGACGGCGGAGCGCGGCGGGAGGGGCCGGCGAGGGGGCGAGGCCGTGCGGCGGCGGGGGCGGGCGGCGGCGGAGCGGCCCCTGGGGGTGGGGGTGCGCGGCCCTCCCCGCCCCGTCCCCGCTCGGAGAAGGAGTGGGGCGCTCGTTTTGAGCGGGAGGAGGAAAATGAGTGATTGCTGAGCCGATGCCTTGTTATGTAATCTCTCCTTGGTCTAATAGTACATCCTAAGCCTTAGTGCACTGCAGCTAGTTTACGAACTCTCCTCCCTCGGCCCCCAAATTTCTTTAGGGATGGCGCCGTGATTTATCAAATGGGATGGGGCGGAGAATCTATTTTCTGGTGATTATGTCCTGCCGCGGTGGGCGCCATGTTTATCCCGGGGACTATTTTCTTTAGATTCTTGGCAGCTTTTGCAAAGGAGTACTGTCATTAATCTACTTGCTTTCCCTCTTTCTGCGTGTTCTGATTTCCTTCTCCAGATGTGGGATTCTCTCAAACTGCTAGTAGCACTTGTCTTGGACATTCTTAGTTCAGAAAAAGGTAGTGCTGATGAGTCCTCAGAGTCATTTGGTGGCCAGTCTCATTTTCAAAATGGAAATTAAGATGCAGTTGGACTATCTCAGAGCAGCCGCTGTCTTGATGCAGGCGGGGTAGCCCGTTCCTCCAAGCCCTTGGACACCTCTCACCGCAGCTCAAAACTCCACAGAAATGGGGTTTTACTTTTTTTTTTTTTTTAAGACTAAGTTTCACTCTTGTCGCCCAGGCTGGTGTGCAAGTGGCATGATCTCTGCACACTGCAACCTCCGCCTCCCGGGTTCAAGTGATTTTCCTGCCTTAGCCTTCCTAGTAGCTGGGATTACAGGCATGTGCCACCACGCCCGGCTAATTTTTGTATTTTTAGTAGAGACGGGTTTTACCACGTTGACCAGGCCGCTCTTGAACGCCTGACCTCAGGTGCTCCGCCCGCCTTGGCCTCCCAAAGTGCTGGGATTACAGGCGTGAGCCACCGCTCCCAGCCGGGGTTTTACTTTTGTAGGCATTTTCCCAACTAGAGGAAAGGGAAACGGAGGGGGCAGGGAGGGCTGCTCCTTGGCAAACGATTAATTTCGAGACACCATTGCTCAGGGTCTGAGAGCTTAAACTCTGAATTCGAACTGTTAGTACAATCATTCTCAACTTCGGGGTGCATAAAAAGTAACTCGAAGATTGTTAAACGTACAATTTGGGGGAGCCTCATCCCCCAAATTTATTCGAATGGAGCAGAGGGGAGTTGTCATCTCTACATTTTTAAATGAGCAGTCCTGCAGCTGAGTCTGATTAATGTGACCACTACGTTGAAAATTACTGGTCTAACATAAAAGTGTTCAAGATGTTGAAACAAATGACACCTTGTGCCCTTAATTTCCTTCCCTTTTCCAGAGCTGTGTTGGTGTATCTCAAACTAAGGAGGTAACAGAATGGACTCTTGGGACGAACATGATTTAGAGTTTCCACTCCCATCTTGAACTAGTGGTATAATATAGGAAAGCAGTTCTCGAAGTGTGGACAGATGACCTGTGGGGATCTCCACTTACCCTTTCAGGGGAGCCTCAAGGTCATAACTATTTTCAAAATAATAGTAAGATGCTATTTATTGTTTTCACTGATACGCTGATGGTTCAGAAGCAATGCTGGGTAAAACTACTGACGGTACCTTAGCACAAAACAAGTCAGTGGCACCAAACTGCTTACTTGAGAATGCCCTTGAAGCAGTAAAATTTATTATTGTATTTTTATCTTTTTGAGACGGAGTTTTGCTCTGTCGCCCAGGGTGGAGTGCAGTGGCACTATCTCGGCTCACTGCAACCTCTGCCTCCTGGGTTGTATTTTTAGTAGAGATGGTGTTTCGCCATTTTGGCCAGGCTGGTCTCGAACTCGATGGCAGGCGATCCACCCGCGGCGGCCTCCCGAAGTGCTGGGCTTGAGCCACCGTGCCCCGCCTGTTATTATTAAATCTTAGCTTTTGACTACTTGTCTTTTTAATTTTTAAGAATTTGTGATGAAATAAACATGGATAAAGCATTTATGCTGCCTACGGAGGTGTGATTGTTGTCATGAGGGAAAAGCATTTGTGGGATTGGGTTGTGAGTGGCTTATTTCATGGAGTACCATGCGACTGGCAACCTGTGGTTTTTCACATTTAGTATTTGGCAGGTATTTCTTGAAAATGAAGTGAGCTTGTCACTTTTAGGAAAACAATTGACAGTATTTATTACCAGTGATAAAATTTGGGTGAAAATTAGAATTTTTAAAAAGTTGACAGCTGGAGTTTGACAGCTTCCTAGTACTTAAAAAACTTCCCTTATGATATCAGTGGTTAAGGACTGTAATATTTAAAAATGTTGTATAATATGTCATTTGGAATATGGGCATAACTTAGTAAATCTGTATTTTGCAGATGACCAATGCATGATGTTGCAAAATCAAGCAAAAGTAAAAGAGCCTTTGAAAATACCAGATATAGCAATGGATTTTAACAGTAAAAAAGTGGATTGATGTGGTTTCAGATTCCAAAATGTTACTATCCTTTAAGAAACTACTATTTGGCCTAGCATGGTGGCTCACTCCTGTAATCCCAGCACTTTGGAAGGCCCAGGTGGAAGGATAGTTTGAGTTGAGCCTAGTTCAACGTAGTGAGACCCTGTCTCTATTTATTTAAGAAAAAAAAACAAAGAAACTACCATTTGTTGAGTTTTAGTGTTTACCAGTATCTACAGTTATCTGAAAAGGTTATTAAAATACTTCTCCCTTTTCCGACTAGATTTTCATTATATACTTAACCAAAATGACATATAGCAACAGACTGAATGCAGAAGTAACTGTGAGAATCCAAACATCTTTTATTAAGTTAGACATAAAAGAGATTTGCAAAACGCAAAAAAAAGTGTTACTTTTCTCACTTTTTGGAGGGAAAGTAATTTTTGTTGAAATGTTATTTATGTTAACTTGTAATGGGCTTGTTTTAAAATATATTAATAAATATTTTAACATTTTGAATGTGGTAAATGTGGAAAGATAAAATTCACATGAAAGATCTTTGGCGTCTTCAATAATTTCAAGAGTCAAAAAAATGAGAATCATTCAGTCAGTCCTGTGTTTCTGCTCTTTAAATCATTCAAATCTAACTCCCTTGGGGAATTTTGGGAGAATTTATAAATAGTTGAAGTTGATGGAAGAGACAGTGACCTGGGGAAGAGTTCTAAAGCAAAAAAAGCTTACTTTGAATACGAACTGGGATATTTACAAACTGTAGCCTTGAGGAAGTTATTTAGTCTCTCTAAACCACTATTTTGACCTTATCTGTAAAATACAAACTTTAGAGCTGGTTGATTACAAATCCTAGAGCTGGTTAATGCCTTTGTCATGATACCAATATGGTGACATTCTGATAGATTCCTTGGTATGCTTGTTGGTGATAAGAAGCCATATCCACAGAACTTTTTTTTTTTTTATTTTTTTCTTTGAGATGGAGTCTTGCTCCTTTACCCAGGCTGGAGTGTAATGGCGCAATCTCGGCTCAGTGCACCCTGCGCCTCCCGGGTTCAAGCGATTCTCCTCCTTCAGCTTCCTGAGTAGCTGGGATTACAGGAGGCACACACCATCACACCCGGGTAATTTTTTTGTATTTTTCCAGAGATGGGGTTTCACCATGTTGGCCAGGCTGGTCTCAAACTCCTGACCTCTTGATCCACCCGCCGTGGCTTCCCAAAGTGCTAGGATTACAGGCGTAAAACACCATGCCCAACTGAAAAACATACTTTTATATGTAACGAAGGGGAGGAAAGCGGAAGAGAGACACTAACCTATTGCTAGGTTTTAGCAGAATTAAAAGAAATTGAAAGCATAGAAATGGAATTTAGGTAACACACAACTGTCATCGAACTAGATATACTACTAGATATTTTTCTTGGGAAAGGGACTCCTGAATATTGACCCCTTTAGAAAAGAGAACTCGTTGCTTACTTTACTTGTTTTAGTAAAGAGCACAGAACTAAATATTTGGATGTTTCTTGATACAGGATTGGCTACCAGACAAGAGGAAAGTATTTTGAGTTTGGAAATTTTAGGTTATTAAGACTACTTAAAACCCATATGATTCTTATATGTGAGGTACTACAACAGTTAGATGTTGTGAGGGACAAAATGGGCTGTGCAAAAGACAGGATAAATAAAAGCTTATTACATGTTTAACTATAATTAGTTTTATACACATATTAAGTATTCAGCCCTATAGGTTTTCTGGTATTAGTCCTTTTTAGAACCAAAAATTGAGGTAACTTGAAAACATAATTACCAGTTATGTTGAGGATTATCATCGTTTATTTTTCACCCTGAAACAAGAAAGTGGTGTTCTTAAAAATGTTTGTTTTCTATAAAATATGTTTCCTGTTCCAAATGTTCTTTTTATGTTGATTTTTGGGCAGGTATGTACTGGCAGTAAATTGAAAGTGTTAGATACCAAATTCTTCATTTCTGGATTCATTCTTCATTTCTGGACTTTACAGCTATGAAAGAACAACACAAAGGAATTCAGAGCTTCAAGAACCAAGTATATCAGGAGAGTTGTAGAAAACAGATCTTTTTCTAATTTTCTTTGAGATGAAGATAGGCAACAGTTGCTGCCCCTTAAATACCTTAAAAGTAGGCAGATGTATCTGCAGGATTCTTTTTGCTGCTTTTAAATAGTACATTGTTTTAAAAGGTCTGTTTGTAGCTTGCCTTTACAATTATATAGACTGTTGACTAGCTCATTATATATAGGGCCTTAGTATAAGGTAGACTACCGTATTTGCCAGCATTTAAGAAATAATCCCCTTCCCCCCCCCCCGAGGGTATTTATCTGGTACTCCCATATTATGGATTGAAGGATAAGACAAGAGACTGAGTATTGCTAATAGTTCTGTGTGAGCCTGCAGCGTTAAGTAAAACCTATTGAGTTCACAAAAATCATGTTACAATTACTACAAATAGAGAAACCACCTAGGTTACCAAGATGTCAAATAATGGATTAGTAGAAGAAAGTAATGTACTTCCTTGGTAGCCTACATAATCCACCTTAATTTGTTATTTCTTATTTAACTATTTTTCTGTGTCTTAAGAAACGTATATTAAGTGAAAATGCCTTCATAAAAATAAAAAAAGAGAAATGTATATATACAAGTTGTGTGAAAATTGATCGTGGGAATAAATCAAGAAATTCAGCCAACAAGGCTACCAGTTATTTAGTAGATACCAAAGAGATATGGCAGAATGTAGCAGTACAAAATACCACAGCTAAGATATGAGTAGGTAGTTCCACCCCTTCCTACCTCACCTCAGTTTTTATTAAGAAAATTTCACGCATGTGAAAAGGGGAAAGAGGCTGGGCATGGTGACTCGCAACTGTAATCGAAGCACTTTGGGAAGCCAAGGCCGGTGGATCACGAGGTCAGGAGTTGAAGACCAGCCTGACTAACATGGTGGCTGGGTGTCAATGTTAGCGCCCAGCTGAACATCGACATTTTTGAAGAGACTATATTAGTTTTATAGAATGTTCCATATTCTGCATTCGATTATTTCTTTCTAGAATGTCCCACCTTCTGGATTTATCTCATTATTTGTTTGTGGTGATGCTTAATTTGTTCTTTTATTGCTGTATTTCTTGTAAATGGAAAGTTAAATTTAAATAATGGATTTGAGCCGGGTGCAGTGCCTCACACCTGTAATCCCAGCGCTTTGGGAGGCTGAGGCAGGTGGATCACCTGAGGTCAGGAGTTCAAGACAAGCCCAACCAACATAATGAAACCCCATCTCTACTAAAAATACATAATAAGCCAGGCATGGTGACACATGCCTGTAATTACAGTTCTTTGGGAGGCTGAGGCAAGAGAATCGCTTGAACCCAGGAGGTGAAGGTTGCAGTGAGCTGAGATCACCATTGCACTCTAGCCTGGGCAACAAGAGTGAAACTCCTTCTCAAAAAATTTAAAAAATAAAATTAATTAAAATAAATAAATCATTGATTTGATCCAGGTTAAATATTATTGTCAGTAATACTTCATACATTGTTTTTGGCTTTTCTTGTTTATTTGTTTGCCAAAAGATGCCATAAACAAAACAACTGATAACTAATGTGAATTATTAGTCAGTAGTTTGTTGGCTAATGTTTTTCTTTTGTTTCCTTTGAGACAGAGTCTCGCTCTGTTGCCCAGGTTGGAGTACAGTGGTGTGATCTTGGCTCACCACAACCTCCACCTCCAGGTTCAAGTGACTCTCCTGCCTCAGTCTCCCGGGGAGCTGGGATTACAGGCATGTGCCACCACACCTGGCTAATTTTTTTTTTTTTTTTTTTTTTTTAAATAGAGACGGGGTTTCACCATGTTGGCCAGGCTGGTTTCGAACTCCTGACCTCAAGTGATCCACCCACCTCAGCCTCCCAAAGTGCTGGGATTACAGGCGTGAGCCACTGCACCAGGCTGATGTTTTTCTATTTAAACATATTACGATCATAATCTCTGGCTTTTGAGATACAGAGCTACTGTAACTTTTAAGTTCAACCGTACATAAGATTTTTAAGGAAGAACATAGAAATAGGTTTCCATTTTGTCACTTTGATTCACTGCTCTCTGCAAAAATGATTTGGAAGTTGAAGAAGCAAGAAGAGTTTATATGTAGCAAAAGTAACCTGTAGAGGAATTGTAAAGGGGCCACAACTAGAAAAAGTTTAAAACTGGGAAGGCTGGGCGTGATTGCTCATGCCTGTAAAACCCAGCACTTTGGGAGGCCAAGACAAGCAGATCCCTTGAGTCCAGAAGTTCAAGACCAGCCTGGGCAATATGACAAAACTCTATAGAAAATACAAAAATTAACCAGGCATGGTAGCACATTCCTGTAGTCCCAGCTACTTGGGAGGCCGAGACAGGAGGATTGCTTGAGCCGAGGAGGATTGCTTGAGCCGAGGAGGTCGAGGCTGCAGTAAGTTGAGATCGCGCCACTGCACTACAGCCCAGGCAACAAAGATCCTGTTTCCAAAAAAAAAAAAAAAAAAAAAATTTAAATTTAAACTTAAAACTGGGGATTAGACAAAAGAACCTGAAAATTATTTTCACAAAAATTATTCACCAGCCAATATGGATAGTGGCAAACAACCATAAAACCATAATTTTACAGGGTGAACATCATGATGCTCTTGTTTTATTAGGAGAAAATATGTACTTGAGTAAGAACAAGAGTGGCCTAAAAGTTGTCAGATGAATATGAAGATAAAATCAAGTTTCTGGCTGAGTGCAGTGGCTCATGCCTGTAATCCCAGCACTTTGGGGAGGCCGAGGCGTGTGGATCACCTGAGGTCAGGAGTTCGAGACCAGCCTGGCCAATATGGTGAAAACCCGTCTCTACTAAAAATACAAAAACTAGCCAGCCCTGGTGGCAGGCACCTGTAGTCCCAGCTACTTGGGAGGCTGAAACAGGAGAATTACTTGTACCCGGTAGACGGAGGTTGCAGTGAATCGAGATCATGCCACTGCACTCCAACCTGGGCAACAGAGCAAGACTCCATCTCAAAAAAAAAAAAAATCAAGTTTCACAGGTAGGTAATTATAGGATGAAGCAGACTAGGTATATATGGGTTTTATTAAAAATTTTTAACATTTATGATATAACCATTTGAATAATTCATAAGAACCTTGTTCTGCTCTGTTGCAGAGTTTTTGAGATGGAGTCTCGCACTGTTGCCTGGGCTGGAGTGCAGTGGCGCAATCTGCAAGCTCCACTTCCCAGGTTCACGCCGTTGTCCTGCCTCAGCCTCCTGATTAGGTGGGATTACAGGCGCCCGCCACCACGCCTGGCTAATTTTTTGTATTTTTAATAGAGATGGGGTTTCCCTGTGTTGGCCAGGATGGTCTTGATCTCCTGACCTCGTGATCTGCCCACCTCGGCCTACCAAAGTGCTGGGATTACAGGCTTGAGCCACCATGCCTGGCCTGAGAGGACAAATATTTTTAAAAAGAAATGATAGTTCTTTATGTATAGAATGTGGGATGATTTTTTTTTAAATTGCCCTCGTTTTCAGAATATGTATTCAGTTTGATCAGTGATTTTCAGTCTTGGCATTATTGACATTTAGGGACAGATACTCTCCAGGCTATCCTATACATTGTAGGATGTTTTGTAGCACTCCTGGCCACTACCCACTAGATAGGTCAGTAACACCTCTCCTCACCCCCACCCTGATTGTGACTACCAAAAATGTCTAGACATTGCCAAATGCCCTCTGGGGGGCAAACTTGACCTCTGATAAAATTCGCTGTCACCTATGAAGAGTCCTTAATTATTTATTTATGTCTTTTGTGAACTAGGTTTCCCTTTATGTAAGCTAGGTACAGCTGTTGAATGAATCCCTTCTGCAGATGTAGTGCGTAGCTTGGGCTGTGCCTGATATATGTTGGAGAACGCTGGAATATGATGAACTCTTTCAGCACTACTGGGAATTTTATTGAAGGTTAGAAATGAGCTCTTGTTTTGAAAGTAAAGGTGTAGGCTTTCTGCTGTATCTAAATCTCTGTTTTCGCCGTCTGCCGCCCCCTGCATTCATTTGCTTGAAAAAGATCTCTATTAGCTTAGGAATAGTTGA